TAATTTTAATATATTTTATTAAAAAAATAAATTTAATATGATGTATAAAATGTCAACGACTTAATTAATTCAATAATTATCTTTTTTTATTAAAAGTAATTGATCATGAATTCAAGTGTATAACATACAAGTGAAATAAGATAAAAAATAAAAAATGATCACCTCCCATTGCGCAGCTAAAATTTAAAAAAAAAAAAAAAGAGATGGCACTGAAAGGCCTAAAACACCAGAGTGCAAAGATTCAGCACCTACTGAAGGGTTATGACCACCATCCCAATCTTTCAAAATATCAGCTCGGAGCCTTAAAACAATCCGTATAAGTGCATCTCTAACACAACCAACTTCTCCAACAACCTACAAGATAGAAGGTTAACATCAAACATTGATCAAAATAAAAGGAGAGAAAATCTTAAAGCGTATCAAAAAAAGGTGAAATGAACCTCAACAAGCTCATCATTTGCATCAGCACACTTTGGCTTCACCCCTTTTGATATACGGACATTGGCTTTAGTTCTCTTCCTTAATTCATTTATAATTGAACCAGCTCTTCCTATTATACAACCAATAATCTTAGAGGGAACAAGCAGGCGCATGGTAACAGTATCATCATCTTCATCATTGATCTTCCCTTGCAGCAATAAAACAGCTTCAACAGCCATGGACTTTAAATCATCCGGAGACTGTCACAAAGGGGAAACAAGATAATCGTGGTTAACACAAGGAATAGAATATAGTCAAATAGTTAGAAACCAGATAGCAGAGGGTTTAGACTAAAGGCAAACCTCTGTTGCTGTTACAGTGATAATACACTCATCACGGTTGGCTTTTGTGTCATCAACCTCAATATTAGCACCACTGTCCTGCCTCATACTTTTAATACTACACCCACCCCTGCCAATGACACGCCCAATCTTGTCAAATGGGCATAATACCCTTATGACTAATACTTCAGATTGTGAGGCACTGCCAAAACCAGACACCACAGGAAAAGCAGATGAATAAACAGGCCATGTAGTCCCAGCATCTGCATAGCCCTGAAGATCTGGCACATGTGTAGCACTGAAGATTGGTGGGAGTGATCTAGAAGGTATAATTGGATCTGAATTAGGATATAAGCCCACTGGTGGATAAATGGGAACATCTGATGGGATAATGATGCTTGGAGGAACTTCTGGGACTGTTGTCTCAAGAGAAATTTCTTCTCTAGGGTTGCACTTGTACATGATAGTAGAAATTGCAAAAAGTGCTTTCCTAACAGCTTCCGGGCCACCATTTATCTTTAACAGGAAAGGAAACACTTAATACAACAAAAGCAACTCCAGACGCAGAATATAACAACACACTGACACTAAACTTCCATGGAGAAATATCATAATCTCCATATTCCAAGATAAAAGTTAATATTAATAACTGATAACTGTTCTAATGTCCAAAATTCAAAGTGCAAATTTGCATTTTTCTAAGTAAAAATTCTTATCTTTAGCATTAATTATGGTTTTTCTTTTCTGACAAATAGCATGAACCATACAGCATCCAACCTAAAACCAACTAGAAATACTAATATGGAGAGAGGACCAACTTAAAAGGGGCCACTATTTTGCTGCTCTCTGGATCAGAACTTCTAATATTTATGGCATTATCCTCTTCTCCAAGGATTGTTTCATGAACACTTCATTACAGCTATACTCTCTATTCCAAATCACACTATTTTTCCTAACAATCGTATACCTCTTGAATCTTGATTTCTAATCCTCAGGCATATCTACAGGCTCACGCATCAATAGAACAAACCCAACAAGCATTGAAGACTTGAAGTCCTCATCATTTCCTAGAGTACAAGAACAGTCTTTCCGTCAAGGAAACAGACTCAAGAAGAGATCAGACTGTAAAAGAAACACTTTCAAGGATATATTATCACTCTTAAAATTTTACGGCTTATCAAAGTCCCAACTTTAAATTCTAGGCAACCCCGAGGTAAATATGATCAATTTCAATAATATAACCATAGATCAACAGTTGTAATAATTGGCAGTATGGGAGAATCTGGTTGTTAGCAAGGAACTATAGCATGCACATCTAGAACACTAAAAATAAGCCTCACAGATACAAATCACTGCTTTACCCATGGTTACAACTGGTTATATAACTTATAAGCTTTCCTCATGAAATTGAAAGCATGTAAAGCTAATACTAACCAGAACAAAGTTGTCGAACTCCAAGGCACATGATTGAGTCAGATCATTGGCATCCTTGGGAATAACCTTGATGTTTGCCCTGGTTGTACTCCTGAGTTTCTTAATAGTTGCCCCTGCCTTACCAATGATATTAGCAGATTGGCTAGAGGGAACAAGAAGTTGGCATTCCTCCTTATCCTTTTGTCTCTTATCTGCATCCCCTACAGCAGTAGAAGCATTGGCAATTGCAGCATGAACTTTAAGGAGAGCATCTTGAGCAGCACATAACGGTACTTTATAACCGAGTTCATCATCGAGTTCATCATCCACCTCAACTTCCTTCTTCTCCTTAACATAGCAATAGATTGTTATGACTCTATCCTTAGCTCCAGGAAATGGGTCAACGACTTTGACTTTTGCCCTTGTTTCCTGTCTGATTGAATTTATGACTTTGCCACTTTTACCAATGACACTTCCAATAACCCCATCTGGACATAGTATTCTATAAACAACCAGTTCATCAGAACTCTTCTCCTCTTTATCACTTAACCTTCTCTTTTGATTTTTGTTGTCTCCATCATTATCCCTGTGTGGTCGAGAACGCTTTCCACCCTCACCCATCTTCAAAATCTCAAACTGATTACTGAAACCCAAAAATAATAAGTCCAAACACAATTGGTGCAAACAGTAAAATACAGCATAAAATAGTCAAAGTTCCATGGAAAGAAAAAAAAGGAAAAAAGGAGCAGTTACAAAAATAATACTTTTCTTCAGTTCTCTTAAAAGTTCTCAGGACCCAAAAAAAGATATCAAAAAAACTGATTATAATTATACAAAAAAGAAACACAAAAAATAACAGAAACAAAAAAAGATTGATTTAGTGAATCAAAAAAGCAGTCAAACAAGAACAATACCTACAAAAAAATCCAAGGAAAAAAAAAAAACTCTTTAATGATAAATTTTGAAGTTTATGCCAAACAAGTCCATGGCTTTTAACTACGTGAATATTTTGCATCAAACAAATAGCAGAGAACCAGAAAAAGAAAAAGCATGGGGGGAAGATAGGAATTTTGAAGCAAAACCCAGTTTTAGGAATGGAATGAAGAATCGTACCAGAGAATGAGAGAAGAAAATCCCTTAGGCAGAGGGAGAGAGAGTGAGGACTCTTCCCGTTTCACAGGATTCCACGGATTCGACTAGTACTTTGTAATTTAATACGGAAGTCAAAGATAGGATTTTTGTCTTTTCGTTGCGTTTCGAGGGGCTCAAAATTCAGAATTATGTTAATTGTGCATGAGTGGATATTAGGCTACTCTATTTTGTGTAAAAAAGAAAAGTAAATCCCAATCTACGTTGAAAAATTAAAATCAATATTAATTTATAAAAAAAATTTATCTAATTTGTATCTTAATTAGTTTTATATAAAATTTTATATCAAATACATATTTTTTTACAAATTTTAAATATAAATATTATATTATATTTTAAAAAATAAGTACATATGAGTTTTAACTTTTGATTTTTTATTTTTTTTTTTAAATTAAAATATTAATTTATATTTAAAATTTAAAATCTTAATTTAAAATTTAAAAATTATTTTTAAATATAAATATTAATATTTAATAAGTTAAATTTTTAAATTTTAAATTAAATTTTAATGAAATAAAATGATGTAATTTAAGGTTAAAATTTTAATTTTTTAAAATTAAGATTGATATGTATTTTTTTATATTTTATTTTAATTAAATTTAATATAAAAATTCATATAAAATTAATTAACAGTATTGTATTTAATAAAACTTAATATGTATTTTATTAAAAATTCTAAAAAAATGTGCTCTTATTAACTACTCCTAGATATTGTGCACCCTATAATTAATTAATGCGTGTAACTGCTCGTCTGAAATAAGGTTAAATGCTTTAATGAGACCCTTTTACTTTTTCATAATACTAAATTTGACCCTTCATATTTTATAAAGTTTGATATAAGGATTAGACTGAACCAACCCATCTGCCGTTTCACTTCCTCTCCTAATTCCCACTGTTTTTGCCCTCTCGCATCTCTCTTGTTCGTTTCTCTCTGCCGATCTTGTTCTTCTTTTCAAGTAAGTTCCTTTCCGCTTTCCTCAGGTTTCAGTTTGGTTCTTTTATATATCTACGGTTTTTTGTATAGGATTTATCTAGGGTTTGTTGATAAATCCAAGTTCAGTTTTTTACCCCAACATAATCTTTTTGCATTAATTATCTGAAACAACTTGTGTGCCAGGAATTTAGCGGTTTTGAGCCTGTTTTGATATTAACTTGCTTACAGTAGATGCTTAATGTGATTGATTGGAAAGAAGAATGGGTGATGAAGACCATACTGATGAATTGTGGTTAGGTGGGGAGGCAGGGGAGAAATGAAAGAAACTTCAAATCCCATATACCAGTTATTTCTCTACCTTGAAGAGGATGATTATGGGTTCAAAAGGGTGCCTAACTTCTGGCTTGGTTGTGAGTAGGCTTGATTTTAACAAATTGTCCTAGGTATGTGCAACATCATGCAAGATAGATAGGAACTTAGTATGGTGCCTTTTTCTCTTTCCTAGTCAACATTGCTGATTAGGGCTTCTTTAAGGTTGGCTCTGGAACCTGGATCAATTCCTTTCTCTGGGATCATCCCTAAAATGGCAAGTGTTTGGGTTTGAGTGGGGGAACGTGTGTCTCTCTGCAGAAAATTGACTGTACTCAAGATTTGATTTTGGGTACAAGAGACTAGGCAACATTTGGTTTCCCTCATCATGAGAAAGTTAGAAGAATTTTTACTGGTTTGGCCGACTTTGTCAAGCATGCTTTTTCCCTTCTATTTGTTCCAGTTATTCATACAAATTCAAATGTGGCATTTTATTTTCTTAGTTAGCTGATGTTCTTAGTTTGTAGTCCAAAAACAAGGATCATCCCTGTTACAAATGGGTCTGGAAAATCTTTTCCATTCAGAAGCTGGTCACACTATAGATATCATACTTCCCGGTTCACCTCTTATGAATTTCCACTTTTATTCATAACTTTATTTTTCAATGTATTCTCAGATTGCAGTTATTTTGCTTTAAGCTCTCAATCATTCTGCATGCATTTGAATGATTGTTAAAATAAATAGGCACATTCAAATAACTTAGGTGAAGGTGTATTCTGAATTTCTGATTTATTTACGGATTCTCCTTCCTTTTGAAATTCTTTGGGCCAGGGATGAGGGATGATGATAGATAAGTATGTCACTAACTGTACACAATACGAGTGTCTGTTTTACATAGTATAGTGTGTGTACCATGCTATAATTTTCATGGTTGAATTGTGTTATTTGGACCTTTGGCCTGACTAATCTACAACACCTACAATCCCCCCTTCCATCAGCAATGGGTAAAGAATCCACAAAATGGTGGCAGGCATGGCCTGTTTGAATTGTTTTTTACTGAAATGTTGATGGATTCTCAGCATTTGTCTCTCTCACTGATGAAATTACTGCATTTGGTTCTGTCATGAAACAATGTATTGATTGATTTAGCTTCTTATTGTTTCTGCCAGCAATCAAGCACGGTGTGATGGAACAAGAAGCAGTGAAATCCTTGGTTCAGATGAAAAGCGCTGATGGGTCTAACCCAAGCAGCTCAGATGCTGTAAGTAGAGTAAGTAAGCTGCTGTTTCGTCGGATGCTGGTAGGAATCAAGGATGGAAGGTTTTTCTTAGGCAATTTCCACTGCATGGACAAGCAGGGTAACATCATTCTCCAAGATGCAGTGGAGTATCGAAGTACCAGACGCACTTCTCCTTCTCCTATGGAACAAAGATGCCTTGGTCTAATACTTATCCCTTCCTCTTGTCGAACCTCCTGTCATGTGGATTGCTCCATTGAAGAACAGTTGTCTCTCCTAAAGGTTTAGGAACAAAGAATATGATGCTTTTGTGAATTCTAATTTAGAAATTTTGTGAACCCTGTCCCCACTCGATTCACATCCTATCCAATAGCTTCAGATAAATTTGATTCTTCAAAGAGTTCGGCTTTGTTTGTAGTTGAAAGTTGACCATTGATAGTTTTGTTTATATAATTCAAATATTCTTATTCGACTTAAAGAGAGGAGCATGCTTTCAAATCTAGATTTTTTTTTTCTTTATCCAATCATGTAAGTGGCATTTCTTTCTTTTTAGTCATGGCATTCATCATCCTTCCAGGAACTTTTAAATTTGGAAAAAGGAAAAGAAATACCTTCAACTATTTACTTGGTCATGACGATGACAATGGCAGTGAGGTAAGGATGACACATCCAATGACGAATTTTGCAATCAACCTGATAAAACTAATTGTTTTTAGACCCCTAAAACAGAACACTATAAGTACGTTCCACCCTATAGCAAATGCAAGCACAGAACATTGAACCTAAAATTTTCTTAGCATTTCATGAGCAACATGAGTTCTACTAGTGATGTTGTCGTTGTGGATTGGAGGTTCAATGGCTTCGGGATGAGGGTGAGGATTGCCTTGGAGGAGAAGGGAGTCAAGTATGAGTTCAAAGAGGAGGATCTCCGGAATCCCCAGAGAAGCCAGCTGGTTCTGCAAATGAATCCAGTTCGAAGATCCGTCCCCATTTTGATCCACAACGGACTACCCGTCTGTGATTCCTCCATCATTCTAGAATACATTGAGGAGACATGGAACGATGGTCATTGGCGTTTGTTTCCTGATGATCCTTACGAGAGGGCAGTGGCCAGATTCTGGCTTAGTTTCATCGACAACAAGCTTTTCAGCACTCAAACTAGATTCCTGAAGAGCAAAGGCGAGGCCAAGGAAGAAGAGAAAAAGGAACTGATAGCTGATTTCAAGCGACTTGAGGAGTTCTTAGGAGACAAGGAGTATTTTGGAGGGGATGAGTTTGGGTTCCTGGATGTCGGTTTCATCCCTTTCTCTAGCATGTTTGCAGCGTATGAGAGTCACGGAAACTTCAAATTGGCAGATGAATGCCCAAAATTGTCAGCTTGGGCAGCCAGATGCTTGGCGAGGGAGAGCGTTTCTAAGGTTCTTCCAGATTTCTCAGAAATGTATGAGATCCACAAGAAATTCTATGGAATTGAGTGACGAGTGATATGCGTGCTAATTTTGAGTTTGAGGTTGACTTGGTTCCGTTTTTTGTCTGGTTAATGTATGGATCTACTAGGTTTTTTTCTTTTCTTTTTGGATATTCTAGAATCAATTTGTGCACATATCAAGTCTACTTTAATCTAGCTAATGTAGTGCTATCCTTGCTTTTGTTGTGCAGCATCTGATGTTTTTGGTTCGAGTCTTGATCTATGTGATTGAATTATCCTTTATTTGATTCGACTATCTTACTAAAAATTATCTCGAATATGATGTTTATTCATAAGAACAGCAAAACATAAGAATTGGACAATGATTAAACCAAAATTTAGAAATTCACCTATTCCAAACCCATTTTCTTCTTCCCTCCTAGAATCAACTCATAGATCTTGTGCCGTTCAGCAAAGGTCTTAGCCACACTGTCCTTTTCCATGCACCTTTTTGCCCACTGCATCAGCTTGGGGCACTCTGCTTCAATACTGAAGTTGCCACATTTCTCATACGTATAGAACCAGCTATAATTGGGCGCAAGAGTCACGTCTACTAGTCCCATGGCTTCACCTCCAAAAAAAGGCTTCTCACCGAGCTCTTTCTCAAACAGCTTCAATCCCTCCGTCAACTCTGTCTTGGCCTTTTCTTGCTACTCTCCTTTCATCATCCATATCGTTTTCCCACATTCGTATAACTATATCATGATGCAAGTCAACCAAGATTAAGAATGCAAATAAGGAATATAAATGGTTTTCAAATCTGGAATGCTCACCTAATGGTTTAAGCTTTCAGGTAAAACAGTTCTTAAAATAGATCAAGTTTTCAAGCAAAACAACAAAAATTGATGACAATGAAGGATGTTAATTAGTTAAGAGTTAACAAGATTATGGAACGAAGGTAAGGAAGAAAAAGACATACCTTTGCGCCAAAACCAGCCCAGAACCTGGCATGAGCTTTCTGATAAGGATCAGAAGGCAACGAGGGAAACTTGTCATTCCAGACAGAATCAATGTACTCAAGGATGAAGAGGGATTCACAGATAGGTCTGTTGTTGTGGATCAAAACCGGAATCCTTTTATAAACAGGATTTGATTTAAGGAGGAGGGGGCTCTTTTTTTATTCTAGCAGATTTTCTTCCTTGAGTTCATATTTGATCCCCTTCTACTCCAACACAATTTTCACCATCATCCCAAAAGGACTAGCCCAAAAATCCAAGAGAACCACTTCCTCTCCCATTTTTTCACAAACTCAATAAACTTCCAAAGGAAAATTATTAAATTACAATGGGTAAGAATGATAACCAATTAAGTGAGGATACAAATGAGCAATTGCATAGAACGGGTAATAGAATATATTGGACTTGGTGATTTAGAGCTTAAGCAAGTACGGAGTTCATTATAATAACGGAGTCTTTGTCTGTTCTTGAAGATTTACATCTCAAACGGTCTTTTAAGGTTTCAATTACCCTGTTGATATTATATTTCTAATCTTCTTTAACTCCATACTGTTGAAATTACCTTATATGATTGTGATGATATTGAAGAGTTCGTGATTGCTGGTAACTGCCTTATTTTCTTATGCTCTTTGTTCTGGATAATCAGGTGGTCCTGGAT